AACTCTTGGGCTTAAGTGATTCTCTTGCCTCAGCCTCCTGTGTAGGTGGGACTACAGGCGCCTGCCACAACACCTGGCTATCTTTTGGTTGCAGTTGTCATTGTTGCTTGGCAGGCCTGAGCTGGGCTCGAACCCGTCAGCTTCAATGTATGTGGCCGACACCCTACTCACTGAACTACGGGCACCAAGTCAACACTGTATACATTTTTTTTTTTTTTTTGAGACAGAGCCTCAAGCTGTCCCCCTGGGTAGAGTGCTGTTGCATCACAGCTCATAGCAAACTCCATCTCCTGGGCTCAAGCGAGTCTCCTGCCTCTGCCTCCCAAGTAGCTGGGACCACAGGTGCCTGCCACAACGCCTGGCTGGTTTTTTTTTTTTTTTGGTTGCAGCCATCATTGTTATTTGGCGGGCCCAGGCTGGATTCAAACCTGCCACCTTAGGTGTATGTGGCTGGCGCCTTAGCCTCTTGAGCCACAGGCACCAAGCCAAGGGGTTTTTCTAATGTTTTAAACTTTTCTCATAAATTTAACATAGCTGATTTTTTAAGCACTTCAAATACCTGCAGAGTCAACTTTACAGCCTTAACAAGGAAATCTTCCTAAGTAGCAACACTGTATACATTTTATTTTTATTTTTACTTTTTATTTTTATTTTTTTGAGACTATGTTGCCCTTGGTAGAGTGCCATGGTGTCACAGCTCACAGCAACCTCAAACTCTTGGGCTTAAGTGATTCTCTTGCCTCAGCCTCCCAAATAGCTGGGACTACAGGCGCCTGCCACAACACCTGGCTATCTTTTGGTTGCAGTTGTCATTGTTGTTTAGCAGGTCCAGCCGGGTTTGAACCCCCCACCCTCAGTGCATGTGGCCAGTGCCATAACCACTGTGCTAGGGCGCCAAGCCATGGAAAGATCTTAATACGGAAAGCATCTTCTTTAGCCTCCCTCTGTGCATGGGCTTTGGGCTTTGTGTGCCTTGTCCTCAAAGCTGACAAAATTACTTCTCTAACCCTCTGGGATCAGAAAATATCCCCAGGGCAAGCTCCAGCTATGTCTAATTCTCTGCTTCTTGCTTCATTTGAGTTTGGGGCCTGGTATTTCCTTACTCTTTTCTCAGTGTATTGCTGAGAAATTAAAAAAATATATATTTTCCCTCAGAATTTTTAGCAGTGTTCACTGGGAGGTCTGCCTGAATAAGCTAGTCCACCATAGTTACTTAACTGGAAATGTTCATCTGTATAAGAGATGAACAGAAAATGTTAATATGAGATTAGTTTTAAACACGTGAGCATAGGCTGTGTGTGTAGAAAGGACTGTTTATAGTTACTTGGATTGCAAATTAACACTGACTTTCTAAAACTAAAAATTAAAAACAAAGAAGAAAAGAAAATCAGGCCTGGTAATCCCTACCTGTAGTCCCAGCTACTACAGGGTATTTGTTGGGGAAGGAAGATCACTGAACTCCTGATGATGTCATGGCACTCCAAATGAAATACCTTTGGATACTTGCTGAGAAAGTAACGCTCAAAATGTTGATGGTTAACACTGGACTAAGAGTGATTTTAATTTGTTTCCCTTACATTTTTCTGTATTAAAATGCATTGGTGGGATCATAGCTCACATAGTTGGCTCTTTGCCAACTTTTGTTTTTAACATAAGGTTCTTGTCGTTCAATTTATAAATTGAATGGGTTTTGTATAAACTAAGAATAATCACTCTCATTTTTCCTGAAATGAATGTCCAGTTAACTCATGTTGAAAAGACTACATACCTCTAATTAATCAGTCCACTTATAAACTTAGTTAATATGAGGGGTTTTTTTCCTTTGAGACAGAGCCTCAAGCTGTCCCCCTGGGTAGAGTGCCGTGGCATCACAGCTCACAGCAACC